ACATTGCTGTCCTTGGAACTTCGATGCAGAGACAGCGACGTAATTTCCAAAATTTAGACCGAGATCGAAGAGGTTTCGGGGAACGAGCAATTTTTAGGCGTCCCAGAATTTATGAAAACAGTAAATCTCAAATTTTTATAGGATTCCACAATGTAATGATTTAGAGATGCCAGTGAAATTTATTTTACTGATTTCGCCAATTTCACCGCTAGTTTAATATCATCATTATCATTAAATAATGATTATATTGTTTGGCGGTCTAAAATTTGAGGCGGTTGAATAAATTTTTATACTGAAAACCTCTACTTAATGGTCGCTATAATTACGAGATTACCGGTTTTTTGCATCATATTAATGAAAAGTAAATCTTGGATTAAACTATTGGTACAATTGATGTGTTAAGAGTTACGTACGTACGTACGTACGGTGCAAGGAATCTAAAAACCACAATTACACATTATGGAGGCAAATATGAATGGTGAAACCAAATACTCCCTAACTTTATTGAATAATTTTAAGTGTAACTTGATCATGCGTTATATTACAGATTATAAATTACGCTACGTAAGCAGGAAATTTAAAAACCACAATTTTCATAGAGTTAATGTAATCAAGTAGTACGTTAATGTCGAACATTTCTTAAATTATAGACTTCAATAAAGTATTCACATACACACTTTATTGATGTTAATAATTTAGGAATACGTATTGATTTTAATGTTTATATTTGTTTCTATAAGGTATAATTGTGATTTTTAGATTTTTACACCGTACGCATATAATAAATACATTTTTGGTGTGGTGAAACAGACAAATTTATATGTAAAGAGAGAAAGGAATGAAACCATGTTTTTCTCGAGCATATACTGAACTTTATTGCCTTCATTTTGCGGGCTCTTCATTTCATTTAGCTAGTATTGTATCTTGATCTACGATAGCCAACCAGATGTTTTTTTCGCATGTTTTAATTTTGAAAAAAACCCAGTTTCAAAATGCATTAGCTTTATAAAGTAGGTGTTTTAAAAAAACTGACCGATAGTTTTGTTCTTTGTAATGAGATCTATAAACTTACCGGTCAATTTTTCAAGTATTGCTTCTACAAAAAGTTGATGTATTTTGAGATGATTTTATACTTCCATAACCTGATGAAACATATATAATGCTCATTTACGATAGTAAATTTTATATAAATCGTTTCGCTAAATTTGGATTAAACTGAGAAATGTGTTTATTGTGGTAATTAATATCATAATGTTATATTTTGAACAAAAATAAATTGATTAAATTATAATTATTTAATTAGTTATCTCATTTAAAACTTGTTTTAGGCATTGTATTGCATTTTTCACACCAAACACACAACCTTCATCCTTGCCAACACCATCTCTAAAATATGAATGAGCAAAGTCTATTATCTTAAGTTCAGTTACTTTAAACTCATCCTCATCACCATCTTCTTCGTCTATATCCGAATCATAATCTGTATCCTCATCTTCGACGACGTAATTTTCGTCTGATTTTAATTTGACCAACTTTTGTTCATTCTCTTCTTCTTTATTAAGAGCCTCCGTAAAAGCATTAGGATCTCCTTCATATACGAACAATAAGGATGCACCACGTAATCTTACATCGTGGTTTTCCAAATCCTCCATGAATAATGTTAGATCTTCGATGAATCGATTGATTACAAGCTGACGTTGACTCAGCGAGATTTCAGCCATAAAAAAATCTGTAAAACATTTCGTTATGGTATTAGGAGTGATATTTCTACAGTATTCCTTAGAGTAATGTGTATAATTATTTGATAATTTTCCGTAGACCTAATAAATGAAGAGTTAATCATATTATAATAATGTAAATTGACAAATTATTTACTTACCCGGCATGCAGATATTTTAATTCCCAATGAACCTGATGTCGTCCTTTCTGCTTTTAGGATGGACTTTTGACGTTTTCTTTCATCAGCATCATCGCCATAGAGCTGTGTACCCAATTTCAGATCCAATACACATGGTTTTTTAAATTTGCTTAAGACATTTTCTATACAAATAGCTTGTATTGTTTGAATATCAGGTCAAAGATATAATTTATGAACTTGGAACACAAAAAAAATTCAAATTAAAAGGATATCTTCAGTATTTCCGTCAGTATTTCTGACGTTTACATTATGTGTCTCAATACTCTCTTTTGTGGTTTGAGGTTTAATTTCATAATTTAACACGCTATTATTTACGTCAAGTTGTTGATCTAGCAAAGGCGGTTGAGAATCATGTAACCGCAAATTTCCGTAATGTTTTGGCATCCATCTAGCAAATCTTGGATGCGCTACGCTATTTTCATAGAATTCTCTCTCGATTCCTTTACAAGGCTTTATGATCATAGAATCTTCTTCCTCCATGGATAATATTTCACCATGGCCGCCAACTTGGTCACTAAATTTTTTTAAGGAAGCCAGGTAATTCAGGTTTAGGCTTTGAGATACAAAAAAATTTTCTATTTGCCGCAGAGGTGCAGCCATTATTCTAACTTTATTTAACACCAATCAAATTATATATATTTTATTATCCACACTTGTACGTAGAATTAAGATTACTACTTAAGAAGCAATATATAGTGTCTAGCAGGAAGTGACGGATAATGGCTGTAACAAATAATGAAAGCATAATGGTACAAGGGTAGAGAATAGGGACCTCAGTTTGATGCGATGCGGCGCATATGCGAAGACAAACCGCATAAATACTGTAATGGTAAAATAGTCCTATGATTGGTCAATTTTTAGCCCTGACCGATTTTAAAAGATAAAGGGCTTCCAAATAAAATTTTAAGGATATATATAATAAATTTGGGTTTTATAATTTAATTAAATATTATTAAAAAAAACTAAGCAAAAATTAGCTGATATTTTAGATTTAGTTAGATTTTAATATACTTTTAATTCTGATTAGCGTGCTTATTGTATAACATTTTAATTACGTTTATTTTTGGAACTGTAACTTGTGCTATAATAATTATATGTATAATTACTTTTAACATTACTTTTAACATGGTTTATTTTTAAAACCGTGTTCTGGGGCTAGTATAAATATATATTAAACAAATTTTTAAATTTTGATATAATACTTATTTTATTTAATATATTGTATTTTGGTACAATAATTTATCAATTTGTGCTATATAGATTTTATTTAGTAAATAAAATATAATTTACAGTATTTAATAAAAGAAAATTTCTTAATTTACACCAGGTGTATATACACACATACTAATTTTTGATTTACGAATTTGTTTAACAT